TGCTACGTACTACTAAGGCGAGTCGGCGCAAGCAGGCAAAGCTAGCGTCTAGCACAATCCGCGGTCGCCTAGCTAGCAAGTATTATACACGTATCGGACAAGAGAAGCAGCGTTAGTATAAGAAGCATACGAAGACTCGATTGCTAGGTCGTATATCTATTAATCGTGCGCGGCCGAAATAGTCCGAAGATCGTAGCGTACTACTGCCGGATAACGATGCATCGCTATAGACCTAGAAGCAGTACTTCTTAGACCTATGCGACCGTATTGTCTAGGATACTCTAGACTAGCTGTTATTATAGCAGATCTAGCGCCTTGTCTTCGATGCTAGCGAGCGACTAGAGGCTCTACTATTCTAGCGCCTAATTATCTAGGCTAGCTTATGCCGTATTCTATAGATAATGCATCTATAAGCCGACAATCCTTAGCCGACGGAAATGCAGATTAACGTTGTTAAGAGCCTTGTCTTCGGACAAAGTAATACGCTAATAATCGCGAAGACTAGTGCTAGTAAGACGCTTCTATTCTAGGCGTTTACGATGTTGACTGGCTTAATAACCATCTAGGTCGTGCTACTTACTCGTATTAGCGATGAGTAGAAGGACGATATCGAGCGCGTAATAAGTCGTCTTAAGGGCGAGTCTAATCTTGTTAAAGTCTGCCTAATTGATGCCGATACTAAGAAGCTCGACCCGACGATGTTTAATAATATCCGCGCTAGCCGCTACTAGTATATTATCCTTAGTCCTAAGCAGGCCTCTATGCCTAACTTCCGCGATATACTACGCAAGGTCTCCGATATAATCGGATTGGTCGTTATTAATAAGGTCTACCTAGTTAAGAAGTAGAAGGACTTCCGCAAACAGTTCTCGGAGATCTACTAGTTACGCCGCCTATTGCGTACCGACACGGTATAGCTCGGTGCCTCTGTAACAGTTACTAAAGATACTATAGAATACGTCCTCGATCGAGCTAGGTTTCGTAATATCGGTAATAACGCATTTATAACACAAATCTTCCGTATAAGCATCGACTAAGTTAAGACTTAGTATATTATAGAGACTGTACCGGATGTTAAAGACTTCTCGCCCCTCTACTTTATCGTTAATAATGCTATTAACGCTAAGACCGGCGAGGCGTCTCCGCAGAATGTCTCTAAGACTAAGATCTTCGTAGATAGCTTAATAGAGGTCGACAACTTGTCTTATATAATCCGTTTATAGCTAGTCGACCTAACTAAGGACATAGCAGACCTAAAGAAGAAGTATACTTGGGACAGCGGCGGCTATAATGTATATAATATCGTCAACTTTTATATAAGCCGTATCGCTAAAGTAGATAAGGATAAGCGATACAACGCCTTCAAATAGCGCGACTCCGTCTGTCGCTTTATAATTGGAACTCTAGCAACTGCGATTAGTACTAATGTTCTAGATATTACTATATTAATCCTCTAGGGCTTTCTAATTACTAAGAACATCGACGATATAGTCTAGAAGATTGGTCGTACTAGGCGTACACTGCTATATAGTGCGCGAGCGAAGGCGATTATCTTCCTGCCGTAGTAGGTCGATAACACGAAGAAGGATATACCTCCTAGCTCTAACTACAAGTCGATAGTACCTCCGAAGGCTAATAGGGCTTACAACACTTCTGCTAACACCTCTGCTTCCGCTCCGAGTGCTAGCACTAGTACTAGCACCGACATCTATAAGAATGCTCTACTATATGTTCTAGTACGCCGTAGCGGTCTTAGTTAAAGCTAAGTGCCTAGAGAGATCGTACCCGGAGAGGCATACGAAGCAGACGAGTTTCCGGATAATATCGACCTCGACGCGGACGATAAGGAAGAGGCAGAGCAGATTGTAGCTGTAACTGAGTCTGCCGAGCCTGCCGAGCCTACTAGGTCCGCTAAGTCCGCTAAGTCCGCGAAAAAGAAGGGCAAGACGAAGGGGAATACCTAGACTAAGGATAAGATAGGTAAGCGCGATAGGATAGGCGATAATTAGAGACTGCTCTAGAACTAGCGATATTATAAGACCGATCCTCGATACTTCCGCTAGGTTCTACTATATATCTACGACGACAGCGAGAACGACTATCCGGTTCCTAATAATTAGCAGGTCCTTAGTACCGAGAATTGCTATAGTTACTGCAATCCTACCTTGCTAGAGTTTGTACAACTAAAGCGCTAGTGTCTAGAAGTCCCGAAACTACTAAAGGCACCTACTAGTAACACGCGTCTAGGAATAGCAGTGCTATATATTAAGGAGTAGTTTACTATTAAGGCTACTGCCCTCTTCGACGACCTAAGTAGCAATGTCTTCGGACGTATTCCTTATAACGTTCTCGTGCTAGTCTAGATAGTATAGGAGCTAAGCTAGGTATTTAAGGGCTCGAAGACACTAGACGATTTCAAGACCCTCGCAATTAGCGATATGCCTTAGCTATTTAAGGAGTGGCACCGTACTACTCCGCGCCGACAAGAAGAGATTAAGTACTCTAAGCTATAGAAGGAGATCTCTAAGAATATCGCGCCGAAAGTGTATAAGGAATAGGACTAGAAGGAGGCCGAGCGTAAGAAGAAGCAGGCGGCTACGAAAGCAGCGAACAAGACCGGTAGCGTGCAGACAGCTAGTCTATCTATTAATCTATCTATACAGTAACCTCTAAGTATACAGGATCGCCGCGCCGCTAAGAAGGCCTAATAGAAGACTAATGCTCGTGCCGCTCTATTATTGCGTATACAGGCAGCAAACCGAGCGCAATCCTAAGTATAAGGCGGAGCTAATAATAGAGAGCCTAGTCCTTCTAATAGCCGTAGCAGGGGTAGTGGAGATAGTAGAGGTAGTAGAGATATCGATATAACTAATGCGAACCCAAATAAGCGCGGTACGAGTTAAGTAGTAGATACTCTACGTACTCCTCGTATAGCTACTCGCGCTAGTACTGTACGCCGCATTGCACTATCTAACTAAACACTAACGCTACAGCTACGTCGTCGACTAGGACAAGAAGAAGAAGAAGAAGCCGAGGATAACTAGGATAATATCGACACTACTATAGCGGCTACAGAGGCGGAGGCCGCTCTAGCTTAGGCTAGTATAAGAACGATTTCTAGTCGTAGCCGCCTTCGTACACTAAGCTAGCGTATTAAAGAGGGTGCCTTCTCGTTTAGTACTCGCTCGTATAAGAGTAGTCTAGTACGTATACCGACGTAGAGGGGTAGAGGCAAAGGTAAAGGCAGAGCTAAGGACTAATAGTAGAATAAGCATTAGATGAGACTAGCTTTTGTATTCGGCACATTCGGTGTCTAGGAATATAGTAATCCAACCTATTGTATCTATTATTCGATAGTCGCTAGCATAGCTTCTAGTCGCTAGCATAGCTTCTAGTCGCTAGTATAGCTTCTAGTCGCTAGCATAGCTTCTAGTCGCTAGCATAGCTTCTAGTCGCTAGCCGGTCTAGCCTTAGGCATTGAACTAGCAGTCGGCGGCTATTGCCTTGAAAGTGAGTGCGGCGATATATAGCCGTTATTATTGCCTTGCTATTGTTATAATAGCGTATTGCTATTAGTAGAGGCAAACCTTACCTACGATACGCCGATATAGACCTCCGCTTTCTAGCTTAACTTCTTCTTCTTCTATATATATATATATACACACTAACACACTAACACCCCTAGCAACATACTAGCTGTCGGCTTCTTAGTAACAGTATCGATACCTCTTTATCGCATATAGGTAGCTCTATAGCGATTAACACTATTCCTTGCTAGTCCTACGGCTTGCTACCGATAGAACCGCTTATCTAATAGTTGAGGTTCCTCGATAGGTAGTTTGTTTAGTCCTTCTTTAGTCTCCGATAGGCTTTGTCGATGCAAGACGTTACGAAGGCGACTCTCCTAGCGAGTAGGTATACTATAGCTTTAGCGGGCGCCGACTACGTATTCAACCGAAAGAGTATAGTTGTTATTGGATTATCGCAGTCTTAGTGCAAACTATAGAGGTCTTAGATAGATTGGCGGAGGTAAAAACTCTTTAGTAAGGTATACCTATAATGCGGCCGACGGTCTAACTTAAGGTAGAAACTCTTTAGCGAGGTATACCTTAAGTAGCGGCTCGATAGCAACTCTCCTACTAAGTGGATAGGTTCGTAGCATTGCTATAGGCTTCCTACGTTTGGATTCTTTATAGGATAATAGCTCTCGAGAACGCATCTAGTTAAGTCGGCGTAACGCCTTCGTTAGGACTATTAGATATAATAACCTTAGTCGTTGCGTAAGGGCCTCTAGTGTACTATATACTTAAGCCCGAAGGCGCTTAGTCTTAGTCTTCACTACTATACGACTGTAGCGCTCGGCGCATTAAGACTGCTATACGACTACAGTACGCATCGACTCGAGCATCCCTAAACCGAAAGCGTATTAATACTATTATCCGACTATAGTACGCCTCCTCCTTTCTTAGTAAGCGCATTAATATTGCTATACGACTACAACGCGCTCGACAACTTATCTCCGGTGTCTCTAATACTAAGGGCGCGGTTATACTCTATTGTTGTCTAGGAACCAATAAGTATCGCTTTAGCGAATAAGCTATCGTCGTTTCGCTTAATAAGTCCCTTCCTATATACCTTATCCCTTCAAAAGGTTATACGTGCTATAGTTAGTGATAGAATGCGCTAATTGCTGCGCATACGCGTACTCGTTACGCGTACCCGCAGTATATAGGCTATATATAATTCTAGTGTGCTTCGGGGCATATACTTCTATAGCCGCTTAGTGCCGCTAGTTAAATAGATCCCTAGACGCAACTGCACTTATCCGTACTGTCTTGCATAGCAGCTAGTCCTTCTAATAGATCGTGACTATAGGATTTAAGCAAAGGAGGGCGTTAACGTAAGAGGGCTATCGTAGCTTCTCGAAGAGTGCTTTTACGAGCGCTCGATGTATATTATCGCCTCGCGTATCTATCCTTGCCGTACATATTATAGTGCCAATGGCTGCGGTGCAATAAGTATAGTGTTAGTATCGCTAGTGTCGCTAGTGTTAGTAGTGTTAGTAGTGTTAGTAGTATTAGTAGTATTAGTAACTTCTCGAGTTTCGGAGGCGGTTCTTAGTGCCTAAGGCGGCCGTCGTTATCGTGTTAGACACTTTTGTTAGCGCTATTTGCTAGAAATGCGCGCAATCGACGTATCTCGCTACATTAGTAATATGCTATTGTAAAAGTCGTAAAAGTTATAAAGCCGGTATTGTTAATACGCGGAAGGAAGCAGCTATAACGTTTAATCCCGCTAATTATGCGCTCTGCTATACTAAATCCGGGGTCTTAGCGGGACTCGGCATCCTTGTTACTTCCTCGAATTTACGCTTCTCGACTAGCTCTTATATACGATTTAACTATCGATACCTACGACTATCGATACCTACGACTATCGATATCTACGACTATCGGCACCTACGACTATCGGCCGTATAAGACAGACACTATACAGGCTCCGCTTCTTATCTACAAACCCTTACCGGCAAGCGCGTTAATAGCAAAGGCAATGTGTTCGATTACGAAGGCAACCCTACCTCGTATAATAACGAAGTTACTAGAAAATTAGATCTATAACTACGAATGCAACCCTATCGGCAGGCTTTGAGCCCGTTAACAGCGAGTATAAAGGCTCTGCTATAGTAATCGAGACGTACTAGTTAGTATTGCGATAAGGGAGAGGGTTAATAGATAAGGTTTTTAATAAGTAAGGAGAGCGTCCTACTTAAAAGCAAACCTGCTTAGCGAGCTTATAAGGATATAATAGAAGGGTAGTAAGGAACTAGTACAGCGGGTTAGGCTCTCGTAGCACTAGATCTATCTATCTACGATTCAACTTTCGCCGCTTAATCGCTATAACTGCTATTGCTAGTGCTATTAGAAGAGACACGATAGAGTCTATATATATAAGCCTAGAATCTAACGAGCCTTTAACCTCTTAACCCTAGCTTTCAATCTTACTACTAAAGAGCGCCGCTTATTAGAGCCTCGCTATCGCTATCGCTACCGGCTCCTCCGGTTAAGTCTAGTACATCAACGATATTAGCAACCTCTTTAATATATATCCCGTAGATGTCTTTATCTCCTTCTAGGTTAATAGCAGCGGCGGTACCTCCGCGGTCGCCTCTAGACTCGACGCGCTTAGCAGTATTAGCAGCATCGATCTCGTTAATGCCCTCGATAGCAGCATTATTAGCCGCACGTATTAGCTTTCTTAAGCGTCGCTAGTTAGTAGTGTTCTCCTTCTTAATAGTATTAGTTATTATCTTAAGGCCTTTCTCCTAGATATTATTAGAGATAGCAGTAGTATTTACGACCTTTCTACGCTTAACCCGATTTCCCCGAGGTCGCTGCGATTGTACCGGCTCTATTTGCTTTATAACAAGACCTTTAGCAACTATCTTATCCGCATATACGCAGACCTCTACTATAGTATTCTTCGCGGTATAGTAATTAGTACCCTTTACACTAATAGACTAGAAGGCTTTACGCATTTGGAAGGCTGCCTCGCGGTTAAGAGATACCTTCTCGATAGTCTTCTCGATATCGTAGGTTGAGTTACTAAAGTGCTTAATATCTAGAGACAAATCTATATTAAACAGCTCGACCTGCTCGTTAGACGCTATACCCTTGCTAGGCTTACTAGACATGTTTATAACACTAGTAGCTAAGATCGCATTCTGGAGAATGTTATTACAACTAGGACCGAGCATCTAGCGGAGGTAGACCATTTCCTCGCCGTAGTTACGCTACCTAGCGCCGAGGAATAGGGCGACAAGCTAGTCGACTATACGGCGCATTTAACTAAGATCTATTTTGCGAATAGCTATCTGTACGGTTATAGTGTTCTCGATTGTCTTTAGCATACGACACATTGTCGTAAATGCTAGATCGGTAGTGTCCTACTAGGCCTCCTTAGTGAATGCTATTGTATAGATCTTGTCGACGATTTTAAGGTACTTCGACGGGCGGAGTCGCTTTACCGCATCCTATAATAGCTAATTGCGAGTCTTACTGCCCTCCGATGCGACTACGACGGCGATAGCACTAGAATAATCAAGCAGGTTCTAGTCTAGCATCTCCTAAATAAACAAGCCAACTATACGCGACCGATAGCTCCGGAATGTTAGGCTCTTTATCTAGTAGAATTTAGGCTTGCTAGGATTTAGGTTAGATATATTAAAGTATATAGTATCTTCCTCGAGGTTATAGGTTAGCTACTCGCTATCCTTGTTTATATTCCAATAAGTACGCAACACCGTATAGCAGGAGTTTATTAAGATATAGAACTATACTAGAGATGCGAGGATCTAGTTACGCTTATCGAATGCCTACGATGCTTTAACACTCTCGCTCTAAGTACTTAAGATACGCTTAATCGTAAGCTAGTCGCTAACAACAATCTAAAGTCGCTTTGCAAAGTCGCGCATCTTACGGAGCTTTAGGAAGTTTAAGAAGATGTCCTTTATAACCTAATATATACTAGCAATAGACACCTCGTTATAGAACGATACCGGCAGAGAGCGAATCTTAGCCTCCTAGCCTAGCATCTCCTCGGCGATACGGATATTCGGCTAAGGAATACGGGCTTTCTTAGTACCGCCTTAAGGATAGGCGGCAAAGTCTATAGATAAACGAAGGGTGTTCTCGTAATTATTAAAGTTAAAGTCTGCGAAGATAGTATTCTCTAACTCGTCCTTAAACGCTAACCCGAGAGTCTAATCGATATAATATATCGATATCTACTTGCGATACGAATCTTCCTATATCGACTAAAGAACCTCTCGTATATCTAGCGGCCGATCGAGATGTAATATATCCTAGGTTAGGCCGGTCTCTAGGATTAGCGGATTCTCGGCAATATAAGAGGTAGTTATATTGATCTACTTAGTAGCATTACCGGTTATCTGCTCGTTCTTCTTCTATTAGCGGTTGAAGTTGTTATAGCATATATACGTACGGAGGTTCCTAGCTATCTTCCTAGAGTCCTTAATCTAAACCTATATAGTCTTCTATATAAGAATCTATAGGGTACGGCTAGAAGGGCAGAGGCCTATATTGTTCAAGACACTTAGTACCCGATACTTAACGCCGCTAGTAACTAAGAAGATTCTAAAGGATTTGGAAAAGCTAGAGGCCTTATATAGTGCTATCGAGCGCACTACTATCTACGTAATCACATTAATGCGCTTCTATATACGACCGGCCTTGTCTTTAATCTCTTTACTCTACTTAATGCGCTAGTTTAGCAATAGCTTACGTAGTATACGGTCCTAACTTAGACAGTTGTTCTTAATAATAGCCGATATCTCCTGCAAATCGATAGGCTAAAGACTCTTCTCGGGCTTATACTCCTTAAAGAACCTAACCTGCTTAGTAACTAGCCGCTTTAGCTCGGATCGCAACCGACGGGCACTATAGAAGCGCTCCTTAACTAATGGTCTATCTAACATCTTATTAATTCGCCGACGGTACGTACGAGTGCTAGTCTTACCGAGCTAGCGCCTAATAAGTTCCGGAGGAGGCATGCGGGCGTTCTTATAAGCGTTTATAATGTCGGTGTACTTCTAATCTAGCGTACGGCGTAGAGCACGACTAATAATCTAATTATCATTATTACTATCGAGCTGTTGTCTACGCCTAATACTAGTTTAACGCCCGGTACGACTACCTCCTCGACCGCCGCCTCTGCTACCTCGAGTGCTACCGGATCTACGAGTAGTAGCGGCGCTACGAGTTCTACGCTTAAAGTCTCCTATAAGTGCATCTTCGACGCCGCTATCGAACTCGTTAGATAGGTCGTAGTCGCTAGCATCGTCGGTATTTATCTCCGCCTCGATCTCGTCGTTACTAAAGTTCTATAAATAGTCGTCGATGTCTTCTTCTGCCTTATCCTCTATATACAAGTCGATTTCCTCTTCCTTAATATCGACTTCCTCTTCCTTATCCTTATCCTTATCGTCGACGCCCTCTTCTTCGTTACCGGCTTCCTAAGCACCTATATATAATACATTCCTAGCCTGCAATATAGCTGCTTCGATATCGAGCTCGCTAGTTAGAGGGGCCTAGCTAATATCGCTACTAGGATAAGCTATATACACAGTCTAGTTGGCCTGTAGTATGCTATTAATCTCGGCAAAGACATTGAGATATACGCGGTTGCGGGCAGAGTCGATTAGCACGATTGGATTATTAAAGTTGAAATCCTGCTATTACTGCTTTGTTAGATCGGAATGCGAAGGCTTATCGCTACCGCTAGCTACGAGAATACGCTCGAGCGTAAACAGATTAAGCGGCTTAGTCGCATTAAGTACTATATTAGCCTACTCGAGGATCTAGCGCTCGAGGCAGATGCCCTTCTCTTTCTCGGCCTTCTTAACAAAGCTCTCGAGTTCTACCTTCAGCCTAGTAACTTGCTTGTCTACTAGGCTTGCGAGTTGTCGCTCGACGGTACGCGAAGTCTTCTTAGTCTTCGAGCAATACTTATAATATATAAAAGCATACTTAGACTAAGACTAGACCTACTAGCTATAGCCTCGACTATATAGCTTACGCTTACGATTATAGGCGGCGCGGTCTAAATCGGCGTAGTAGGCGACTCGAGCTAGATCGAAGAGGGTATAGCGCTTCTTAGAATTACTATCGGAGGGCGATAATAGCTTAGATAGCGCCGCTATCTGTTCGATACTAGGGGTTTTTTTAGCGCTGGATTGGTGCTAGATTAATGCTGGATTAGTGCTAGATTAGTGCTAGATTAGTGCTAGATTAGTACTAAATTAGTGCTAAATTGAGTGTTAGCTTATAGATGTTTAGTATTAGGCGGATGCGATGCTCGACTAGCGCCCGGCGTTTTCGAATGTCGAGGATGCTTATAGAGGCGCGCTCTCGTATATTCTAGTATATTAGAGGTGTCGGAAGTGCCGCATAGGTATTGCGAAGGTCGCAAGTAGCAAGTTAGCTTCTAAATCTAGCCCGTAGGTGAAGCCCTCCGATACGGCCTTAGGACTTAACAACCCGTCGCTTTTACGACTAGCAAACACTTTAGGGTTATTGCGCGGGTAATTCTAAGGGGCCGCGTCTATTTCGCGTGTTGCAAACGACGTTGTTTGCCTTCGTATCGAATACATTTCGAGAGGGACTCTAAATTTCTAAGATAGTACAAAAATAACATTTTATGTTTTCTATTTATCGTTTCCGCTACTGCATATAATATTTTCTATATGCAATAAACCTGTAGACTTTAAGATACGCTGCGTTTCCCTCTCTTATATTGATTTTTAATGCGATATGTAGTTGCGGAGCTATATCCGATATTCAATCTTAGTCTTAGTAGTAATCTGACTAAGATAGTACAAGAATAACCGGATTCTAACACAATGTCCTTAGGCGCTTCGCTAACGCTCGCAACTAGTCCACTATACTATATCGAGAAGGCCGGGAACCGAAACGTAGGTTTTAAGATAAAGGAAGTTATATATAAAGGAAAATAGAAGGTAGGTAGAAGTTACGAGCTTATATACGGAGCGGCTAAGTGGAGGTAGACTTCTTCTACGCTTCTTCGTTAGCCTAATAGTACGTATCTTCGGCGTATTAAGTGCTAGCGCTAGTGCGGTTATAGTTCTCGAAAGCGAGCTTATTATTACTAGTAAGAAGGCGCTAGGTTTGCTTATACTATAGGTCCTTACGAGGGTTATAAGAGACCGTAGAAATATCCTCCTTATTTATCTACTAACTATTAACTAGGCGCCGCGCCTACGCTAGCACCGCATTAGCTAAGCGTATTAACTTACTAACCTTAACTTCGCTAGCTATAACTTCTTCTTCTTCCTCTTCTATAGTAGTAGTAGCATCGTTAACCTAGAAGTCCTTTTAAGCCGCTGCCTCGAAGGCCGGTATATTACTAAACTTCTCCTACTACGCCGTCTTCTTCTTTCCGCTAACCGCCTTCTTTCCGCTAACTACTTTCTTTTCGACCGCCTTCTTCTCGACCGCCTTCTTCTCGACCGCCTTCTTCTTAACTGCCTTCTTCTTATCCTTAGTAGGCGACTCGCGCTGCTTAACCGCTTCCTTATACGTAGGAAGGTCCTTCGAAGCCGCTTTCCGCGATCGAGACGCCCGCTCTATAGCCGAGTATTCGAGATATAGACGCTATAACTTAGTCGCTATCGACGTAGCGATAAGAATAGCAACTTCTAGAGGTAACAAGGCGTAACAACATATATTAAAGAGGCTAGTTAACAAGCGGTATGACAATAACTAGGTATAGAGAAGGCTAATCGACGCGTTCTATAAGGCTCAAAAAACCAAGGTCTTGGCATTCTCAACCTTCCGGCAAAACACAGTAGCAACTTCATCCCAGCACATCGACTTCTCCTATGCAAACCACTTCAATCACTTTGTCTTATGCCAACAGCCATCAAAGCAACCAAGACACATACCTGAGGCTCCAACACGTGAGCGTCTGAAAGGAGACAGCATCCAAGCATCTTCAGACTAAAGCCCCCATCCATTGCCGGCGAACACTTTACTATATTGCGACTTCCACTTTGACAACACCTTCGCATCCTCGTCCGCAAGCTCCTCAAATACTCCGGGGTTTGCCTATCCACTTCGCTTCGCTCGGATCATAGCGTTTCTCATGCAGAGAACTGTGCCAAGGATGTCGCAGCAACCTGCGCACGATCCAGTCAAACAACATCTCACTTCGAGCCTGCTATGCATCAGATCGCAGACAACATCCTGAGATTGTTGCCGCAATGAGTTGTTCCAGGATCACTCAGCGATCTAAGAGCTGTGCCTTTGTAGGGCTTCAGTGCAGCAACAAGTGAGACATCAGCCGTCCATGTCTTGCATAGGCTGGAACTGAGGGCATGGCTCATATTTCATGAAACGTGCGCTTGAAACATTACTATTGAGCTGTTCTATACCTTCAGAAATATAACTTGAGCACAAGCTGGAGGGAGAGCTGACTTTGGACACAGGACACACCCGGAAAGCACCGTCAAACAGCATTGAATCACAATAAAGTCAAAAAGTCAGCACTGGCTTGCCACCTATTCTACCCCTTGTTGTCAGCATTCCTCCACGATGTCCTTGCCCACCAAAGAAGAGCTCCTAGCTCAGCTCTTACCTGACCCGAAACCGGAATGTCCGGTCTGCCGGGACGAAATGGAAGAATCCACATCGACACCTTGCACCCACACTTTCCACTTGCACTGCCTCGCATCCTGGTTGGAGAAGTCAAATACATGCCCTCTCTGTCGGACTAAGCTGTACCGCGAGGCTCTCGAACCATACTACTTTCGCGACTCACAAGAGCCACTAACCATCAACGATATCAGTCCGCATCCACACGTCTGGGCGGCCAATTGGGCGGCCAATCGTAACATCGTCTTACGAAACCATCGCAACAATGTGTTGAATCACATCAACAAGTTCAGGGCGCTACAGCAAAGCACTTTCACTGGGCCCGAGAGAGCTTTCATTGGACTCGATCACGATATCTTGGACCGTCTAGTTGCTGCTTACTGCTGGTCGAGACCTAATTCCGTCAACAATCTCGGCAACGCTGATCGGTGCCTCACGCAATGGTGGCTGGTTTTCACGGCGTTCCTGGAAGTCATTGATCGGCTGCGAGGAATGTTGGTGACAACTGGCACTTTATCCGAGCTCCTGTCGAAGAAAGTTGAGTTTGCTTTGAGTGGAAGGTATCCGAACTATTGCGAGGCACTTGCACAAAGACCGAGCGCTACGACTTTTAAGGATGACGTCGAGATTTTTGTTGCTTTGTTTGTGAAGATGGCGCAGGATGCGTACGAGGAAAGGGTTGGTGCGGTGGGATTGGGAACGGGTCCGGGAGCGTTTACGACGACCTGATGAGAGCCGCAGTAAGATTTGGCGCGAATTCCTTAGCTAGGAAGGGCGAGTGCTCAATTAGTCCCAATTTGAGGGTAGGAATCGATCTTCATATGGTGTCAATCACACGCTACTTGTCCAGTCATCTTGCTTTCCATGCGCAGTCTTAGTAGCCACACATCATTCCAGGTGTGCTCGCTGGCATTGTGTGAAGAAATTCGATCGAGCGTAAACGTCTTCCCAGATGAGGGAAAGAGTGGCGCGTGCGAATGCTTTCTCAGCCTGTCCGCCTCCGCGTGGAGACACGTTTCTCCGCCGCCCGAGAGCATGACTCGCGCGCTCCCCACCATGAAGCCTCACCGATGCGAGCATGACTAATGTGCCGAACCTATCGAAGTACCTGTATTATATATACCTCATGCTACTGCAATTAGTATAGGTCTTAGGCCGACCGGGCCTCGACTCGACCTAATATGTGCCTAATACATCGTCCTCGGCCTATACTTCTCTAGCGGATAATTAATAGTACTACGGAAGGGCCTATAATTATCCTATATAGACCGGCGCTATATAGATATACTGCGGTTTTAAAATTCTTAGTTAAATGTCCGACAAGAACCTACGGATCTCTAGGATGCTATCGATAACCGTAGGCTTATAGTCTAGTCTATTCCGGATATATAGCTTACGTATATAAATACCGTATACCTAGAAGGCCTTCTCTATATTAACCTATACGAACTATCTCCTATTAGACCCTTGCTTAGAGCGCACGAGCTACTAGTTTATTTATAAACCCCTTGCGTAGCAAGGGTCTAATAGTAAAAGTACCGATCGGGCTAGATCTAAGATCCCTAATTTGCGATATTATATATAACGCGATATATATTAATATTTTGTAATAAGGACGTAGAGCAGGCGATCGGATTTTATTCTACCTAAAAATCATATTAATACGACGTTAGGTTATTATATTATAGTCTATAAGCCGAAGGCACTACCTAGCTAAAAGCCGGCTTTAGTAACAGACTTAGTCTTACTAAAAACACCTATTTTAAAACATCGCCTAATCGATATGCAAACACTTAGAGGCCCTAGCGCTGCTAATTTCATAATAATCCCCGTTTAGTATATATATATATACGATAATGTAGTATTATATTATATCTAGATAGCAGAGGTTACTCTAAGCTACGTACTAAGACTTAGCTTTATCGACTTTATATATATTTCTAGTCCGTGCGTCTTTATGTGTTTGCTACGGTTAGACGCGCCGCTCGCGGGCACTAGTCGCTACTATTATAATCTATTCCTTCGACGCCGTCGCTATTAATCTAGTCGTAACAATCTAGCATTTAATCTAGCATTTAATCTAGCATTTAATCTAGCATTTAATCTAGCATTTAATCTAGCATTTAATCTAGCATTTAATCTAGTATTTAATCTAGTATTTAATCTAGCGACAATGTCGGACGATAGCGATACTATTATAGCCGATATAGACGATAAGCCGCTACTAATAGAGCCTTCTAGCTTGCCTATGCTACTATAGCAATATAATACATTCGATACGAGCGAGCTCGGCTTAGCGCTACTATTAGACTAGCTTATAGATATAGCAGCAGAATATAGCCTCGTAGAATATAGCCTCGTAGAACATAGCCTCGTAGAATATAGCCTCGTAGAATATAGCCTCGTAGAATATAGCCTCGTAGAATATAGCCTTGTAGAATATAGCCCTTACTAGACGAGCGAGCTTTTAGCGTTGCTATTAGACTAGCTTAAAGATATAGTAGCAGAATACGGCCTTCCGATAGCGCTAGCTCTAGTTGTTCTAACCCGCTAAGAGCGCCGTATAGGTCTACGCGCTAACGTCGCGCTACCTATTATCGAGGAAGAAGAGGAGGAAATAAATAAAGATAATTACGAGACTAAGGATTAGGATAATAAGATAAGCGATAATAAGGTCGAAGCTAAAGCCGCTAGTACTAAAGGTAGCTAGTTCTTTCGACTAGAAGATAAAAGAGACTTCTTAGATAATAATAATAATGTCGAGCCTTAGATTGTCGGTACTACTCGCCCTAGCACCGCTCGGAAGCGCTAGTTTCTAGCTAGTTTAGCAGCTAAGAAGAAGAAGAAGCATAAGAGTCTAAAGACTCTACTATAGAAGTATACTAATATTATAGACCTACTAAACTACGAGTACCTTACTGCGCTAAAGCTACTCTTAATATAGGTAGGAGATCTAGGAACAAAGATATAGCGCCGTCGCATCGATAAGATTATCGATATCTTCTCCTTCGAGGGTCTCGTAAGTACTCGTAGGCTCCGTTCTAAGTTAAAGAGGCTCGTTAGCAAGAAATTCTTTAACTAGTACGATCCGGACTCTACTATCGACAGACAAGAGAAGCTAAGTAAGATAGACAAAGTTATTAAAGATATAGCGCTAACTTAGTATAGTGTCCTATAGGGTTTGCTTCCTAATAAGCGCTATACCGCTAAAGATGTCGCTAAGGAAGATTAACCTAGTATCCGAGAGGACCGAGACAAATTTAGCCGCTAGAAGAAGCGTATCGCTACGATTACGCAGATCGTTACTCGATCGATTTTATTAAAGAAGGCGTCCTAGTTTAGCAAGTCCTTTAGGCTGTTCCTATATACTAGTAGTGTTAAGCGACGAGTCGTCGATGTCCTTAGTACGATAGGTCTTTGTCCTGCCTATCGTATACTATAGCGGCTAGCGAGGAAGACTGCTCGTACTAACTAAGAACAGGTAGTTAAGATGTTTATTAAGGGTAGATATATAATCGTATACGACAACTTCTATATCTAGGAGAACCGGAAGGCTATCTAGACGACTAGTAGCAATACTAAGCAGCGCAATATAACGACCTCGTATATTGCTAGGCATTAAGCCGTCTAGAAGGGTCTAAAGAAGCATATACTAAAGCTAAAGAAGAAGATAAACCCTCGGATTATCCTACGTAAGATCTGCGCTAATAAGTATAAGAAGGCGACCTCTTTATACTATATCGACTAGGCTATAGGATTCCTTGCTAGCGATAAGCTATAGCATCTGTTTAAGGAACACGATAGCTTTAAGGGCCCTAATATAGACGATCGTATTCGCGGCAGTAGTCTAACTAAGCGGTTCCTATAGCGTACGATCTAGATTAAAGACAAGAAGGATAGCAAGACTCTTATAATTTTACTACTAGTATCCGATTATAACGAAGCCTCGATTAAAGATACGTACTAGGTATATAACGATATCTTCTAGAAGTTCTTAAAGCTCGATCTAGATAATAAGGCGTTCTAGGACTAGCTTATTATCGTTATCGGAGACTAAATAACCGTCGATCGTATCCGTAGTATTAAGCTCGGCAGCGTCGAGAGTACGCGCGTATATAATAGGAAGGACTTTATCGTCGGTATACTAGCCTTCTTCTATATCGAGATAAATACGTGCTATACTCTTCTACGAACCTATTATAATACTAACAAGGCAGGCAAGCACCTAGCCTATACCTTTAAGGACATCGCTAAGTATTATACTATCCGCCGCTTTAGTAGTACTAAGGCGGAGTACTACATCGTTCGACAGGTAGTATTCGCAGCATATCGTACGTATATTAGTGCCTAATTTCTTTAAGAGGCAGAGGAACAGCTCGGATTCAATTTCGGTGCTCCTTAGTTTATAAGTATAAACTATATCGAGGTAGTAAAGGCTCTAATTAAATACTATCTTACGCCTCGGTAGTATATTAATATCGTAGAGGCTATTTACGACAAGCTCTTTACATAGGCTGCTTAGATTGGATTAAATAAGGATAGTAAGATAGACGACCCGTTATATACTACTATAGCTCGACTATTATAGGAGATCGAGAAGTTAGAACTTCTTAACCGTATATATTGCGATCCGCAAAATAGACCTTAGATATCTTCGCCGCATAGTAGAACATCTTATTCTAAACTTCTTTAGTGCTCGGTAGCTGAATTATAGGCGGGAGATAGTAAATCTTTCGTAGATGCTAAATATATCTAATCCTATCCTATAGGAGGCTATCCTAGACTTAGCTATCGTTAATCTCGGAAATAGCAAGGGCGTTGCTACTAATAAAATGCTTAAGCTGTATAACAAGGATTACAAGCTCGATATTTAGGCCCGTAGTAACTCGACCTACGACGTATCTACTATAATAGAACTAATCTCGTAGAACTAGGAGGCATCGTAGGCCGTACGTAGTATATTAGAGAGCATCGGACTAAAGGGTACTAGATACTATATCGAGAAGGATACTACTAAGCAGGTATAGGCTAGAGTAATTAAGAAGTACTAAGAGGGCAGTATAATACCGGATAAGTACGATCCGGACGCTAATTTTATAGATCTAATCGAAGTACTAAAGCTAGATCTACGCCCTATCTCTAATAATATTTAGTAGATTAGGGCAGGGCTAATCCCTAGTATATACGAGTAGCTTAACAATATTAACTAGCGTCTATTAAATAGCGTAACCCGTAGCGCTCCTAATATAGCTACTAATAGTATAGACAATATCGACGGCGTAGATACGAGAGAGCGCGTTAGTAGTAGTACTTAGCGGGGCCCTATATAAGTAGGCATTGTCGATAATGCTATAGCTGCTATATACTAGCTATACGTCGACGCTAAGGGCTTTACTAACCTAGACCTAGATATAGTAGATCTAACTAGTAGTCCCTAAAGGCTCTTATAATAGCAATAGGTAATAGTAGCGGTTATAGCGATTAAGGATTAAATGAATCTAGCTTTTGTATTCGTTTGTAGTAATCTAACCTGCTATATCTACTATTTAGGCCTTCCTTACTAGCTTTATCTCTTAGGTGCTAGCTTTATCTTACAAGTGCGCTTGCCGTCGACAACGATAGCCTTGTTAACTAGGCGGTTAGCAGCGAAGTAGTAGCGGTAGACTAGAGTACGTACCTAGTAGCGAAGTAGTAGCGGTAGACTAGAGTGCGTGCCTAGTAGCGAAGTAGTAGCGGTAGACTAGAGTGCGTGCCTCGTTAATAACCGGCTAACGAGCGTAGAGCAATTCTAGCCTTAGGCATTCGACTAGCAGTAGTCGGCGGCTATTACGTTAAAAGTGCGATAATATATAGCCGTTATTGTTACCCCGCCCTTATAGCGTAAATAGCGCAATCCTATTAGTAGAGGCAAACCTTACCTACGATACGCTAATATAGACCTACGCTTCCTAGTTTAACTTCTTCTTCTTCTTCTTCTATATATACTAATATACTAATACCCCTAGTAATATACTAGCTATCGGCTTCTTAGTAATAGTATCGATACCTCTTTGTCGTATATAGGTAGCTCTATAGCGATTAACACT